CTGTGGGACTGGCGTGTGTGACTGTCACACTCACGGTTGTACCTCACGCGAGGTCTGTCACGAACTCAAAACTTCCTGCAACCTTTCACCAGTAACGGAATGCAGGGACGTCCTCCGTTCTGTCTGTCCTGTCGGCGGCCGGTTCTGCCGAGGTGAATCATCGTGTGTGCACTGGTTTGTGAGTCACTGCTGCACTGCCGGAGGGCCCGGATGTGACGACTGATCACCACTCACTACCTGGCGTCCCCTGCCGCCGCGCCGTGCCGTGCCGTGCCCCCGTGCCGTGACCTTGGCCGTCAGCCGTGTGACTGTCCGGTTGGCTTTGGATCGAACCCCTCACAGACTGCACGGCCAAGGCTACTCGGGGAGCGGCGGGGAGCGGTTACTCGACTGAAACGTAGGTCAACCACCCCTTCTGTGTCGACTGACCAGTGTTTGTGGTTGTGTGTCCTGCGTTATCCGTCTTGTGCCGTTCACTGTCATCGTCCGTTCGGCGATTTTAATGTTCCTATTCCGTCTGTTTTTCGTCTCTGTTCCGAGCGTTTCGGACCTCGTGTCAAACCTGTCCGACCGAGGTCACATCGTCAACTACTGTCAGACCGAGGTCAGATGGTCAGTAGCTGTTAGAGCGAGGTCAGATTCCGTCTGACGCTGTCAGCAGATGTCAGACGATGTTTTAAGTGCAGGGTTTTAGCCGAAACTCTCCAGGCCAGGCTTGTCGAGAAGTGTTGGGCTCTGCCGGGTGCCAGACTTTTCGTCTCTCGAGCTGGCGCTAGAACTGGGCTCGGGGCTCTTGTTCTTGGAACATCAGCTCCAGAGTTGGGGCGTGAAGGACGGGCCGGCCGGAGGGTCAGCGCGGCGCCCGGCCGGCGGCGTTTTCGGGGGTGTGACCGGGGCGCCGGCGGTCGGCCGGCCGGCCACATGTGATCGATAGGGAGGTGCCGGGCCGGCCGGGCCGGCGACCGACCGGACGGCGGCGGCGGCGGCGGCGGCGGCGGAGAAGGCGCCGCGGCGGCTCGGCACCGGCCTGCCAGTCGGCCAGCCGCGGCCGCCCGAGCCGCCCGCGCGAGTGGTCAGCTCCGGCCGCCCCCGCCCCCGCCCCGGTCGCCAACGATCTCTGGTGCTCAGACGTGAGACAAACTGTGAGACGGCCACCATGTGGCAGAAACTGGACGAATTCTTTACACAGAAGTGCTGCCTGTCATGTGGGAAATCGGCTTTAGGTGAGTTAACAGCTGAGCCTCAGCTGCAAGTGAGCCGTCTTTGAACGTTTAAAACGATTTGACTTACGTTCAGCTGTATCCAGCTTTGTTCGTATCGCAGCGATCTGCTTTCAACAACTGCTCCTGTCGATTTATCGATGTCGAGGGAAGGCGCATGCTTGTGTTTTGCTATCCTTGAGATGTCAGTAGAAATATCAGCTAAGATCTGTGTCACGAAGGGCTGATTTCTGCTATTATTGGTAGAGGCAGCATGCTATCGATTGAGTACCTACGGAGGTGACCGTAATGCTCGAGAAACCTTAAGTGCAGCTATTTTCACATACAAAATCATTGTGCATTTTAATCATTTTGTATCAGTATAGCGTCTGTTATTTATGTATTCATTTACTTATTTATTCGATGATGGCTGGGATTGTTTCACTAAATCGGGTTAAACTATTCATTTTCCTCTAAATGGTGTGTCTGTGTATGCTTAGCCTCATTGTGAGCCGGCGTCCTTCACTGCACGCGATGCGGCCGTGCGGTGACCCTCGGCGGCTGCGTATCGGTCAGTGGACCCGTTACTATTGGGGACCCAGAACCAGTTTGGCCCGACTGCGCTACCTCACACGTGCACACAGCGCGGTCAACCGGTCGGGCAGCGGGGCCGGCCAAAGGGTGTCGAGAGGCCGGCCTGAGCAGGGCGCGGTCACCTCATGAATAGAAAGGCGCCGGTCGATTAATCTCTCTCTCCCCGGCGTGGTCAGAGCCCGGGGCGGGGACGGGGCGGACAGGGGGGAGGACAGGCTCAGGTCGTCCCGGTCGGGCTGAGAAATAGCCATGGTGTTTATGCCGGGATAAAAGTATCAGGTGTCGGTGGAAGACCGATATTGTGACGTAACCCAAAACTATTGCTGAAATACTTTAATGTCCGAGCTCTTCGTCGATGGAGAAAGCTCTAAAATGAGTCCATCAATAAATATTTGACTGGTGAGGTGGAATCCAGAAAATCCATGGGTGATGGACGAAGGGTTAGTGGGTGGGTTTCCCAGATGCCCTTTACTTTTCGATAAATTGGTGGAATGGGGTCGCCTATTCCCCCTGTCCGCCGTTCCTCATACCGGTCCCAGGTAGCCCGCCCTGTGGTCACAGTGGTCAGACGGGTCGGCCGGTACGGCACCGCTGACACGCCTGACCCGGTTGTCACCCTGTCGGTGGACCGGGCGTCTCCCGAATCTGGGACCGCCCTGACCGGCCCCGGCGTCCGCCCGACCGGCTGACCGGCTGCAGCGGGGTCGTGCTGACCCGGTCCAGTGGGTCTGGCGGTGACCCGGTGCCAGCCGGTCTCCGCTGACCGCTGAGCGCTGACCGCTGAGCGCTGACTGTCCATGTCGGCGCCGTGACCGCTGACGGAGATGGCCCGCTGCCGTGGCTGGCGGCGGCCGGTGACACTGCAGTGGGTCAGTCGGGGCGGACCGTTAGCTGACCGGCCCACGCGCCCTGCCGAGGACGCCCGGCCGCTGCAGCTCGGCCCGATCAGCACCTATCTCCATACACAACACCAGTGAATACCTACAGACCGGCCCACGGCTCACCACCGCTACTAAATGCAGCTCTGCTGACAGTAATGGGCGAATTAAAGCGTACGGTAGTGTGTGTTACGACCGCGATGCGTGGTCCCGGCGCGCCGCCGACGCCCGTGGGAGTGATATGCATGAGGTGGCCGGCCGGCCGGGTGGTATATGAGGCGGCCACCGGCCCGTTAGACAAACCTCACACGTCGTCACCGGCCGCGGCCTTCTGTGGCGACCGCCGGAACGGGCTTAGAGCGGGAAGTGTTGTATACCGTATAAGGGACTACCTGGTTCTGAATCGACCCTATGGTAGCTAAGCTACCCCATCGTTGCCTTGGTTTGGCTGTTCTCGATAGCCAGGAGTATATTACCAGCATCGATCAGAGACCGAATTTAGCGTCTTGGCGACATATCACCCGTCAGTCTGGCATCGCAATGCAGAATGCTCTATGAATTCCTCGGTTAAATAGGTAGCGCTTAGCAAGTCCACTGACCTCGAATGCTACTACATCTTTCCTTACATACTCTTCGCTGCGACATCAGCATTTTCTGGTCTGAGATGGCACACGGTTGACAAACAAGTCAATGTCTGTACAACACTCGGGCGGGCTCATCATCATCAGTATCGTCATCATCATCATGACGACGCCATCGTTTGGCACCTGCTGTTGTTGGTCGGCGGTCGGGTCCGGCCGATCCCGGCCCGAAGCCATCGTGACTCTGCGGCTCGCTACCGTCCCCTCCGGCGCCGGCGACTGAGCAGCGCCGTCCCGAACCATTTGAAATCAGCTCAGCGCCGCCGAGACCGTCCGCACTTTCCCAGGTCACGATTTGGTTTTATATCACGCCGTGTTGCGTTTCACCAGGTCACGGCATTCGGTCCGTCCGCACTGTTTTGCGCCTTGGGAAGCCGTGGACTAGACCTTTTCCAGACCTTACTTCTGCTATGCTATATTTTATTTCCTTATAGATATTTGTTATGTGTCCACCAGTGAGCCTTTTCGGTTCAACCGACGACGGTCCCAGACCGAAGTAACCGTCTCCGCATGGTAGACAGGAGACGGTCATCGCATCGTTGCAGCGTCCGGTAACCGTCACCGTCTCTGGTCTCCGCGCAGCGAACAATCACTGCAGTGACCGCTCAGCCCGGCGTCTCCGTGCAGAGGCCGTGTCGGCGCCCGGACGGTCACCGGTGTTAGACGCCGCCGGCCGCCGGGCCGGACCGGTTGTGCTCGCTGCAGTCGGTCCACTCCATAACGTGTGCAGCGCCGCGCCGCGGCCGGAGCGTTGACCTGGCCGGCCATGGCGGGTGGACCGGCCGGCCTGCACCGGCCTCCGCCTGCTCTTCAGCCACCGGCCCAGACGTGCTGTATTGACCTGACCGGGCCGAACCTGCCCTGCCCTTCCCCGCCGCGCCGCGATGGTCGTCCCGGCACAGCCCACCGGGTTACTCGTGTCCAGAACTGATGGCGCTAATACCACCGGCTTTGTCGGCTCTCGTGTGCCGTAATGCAGCCCGCGTCTCTCTGTCGCGCCGAGTACTCTATGCCACGGCCTCGGCTCTATCCCCAATCTCCCTTGCCCGGTCCTTTCTCTCGCGACCCTATACCCGCGACCCAGTCTCCGTAGGGCATTTGCAGTCTGTTGCGATGACGGGTCGTTTTTGTGCTACCGGACCATCGTTTTCGCTCGGCACGTTTTAGGACGCGGCCCGAATGTCTTTGGTGGTGCGGAGATGCAGATAATCTGTCTCGTATGTTGATGCACGCACGCTCCTTTGAAGAAAAAGGCTGGTTGGTTTATCTGGGAAAGGGTTTTCGTTTTGGTGTCAGAAAAACACGGGTGGAGACTGGGGGCGGACTGAATGACGAGCTAAACTCTCATTGAATTATGCAGAGTTCAGGCTGGAGGGCGTTCATGTTTGGAAAGGTCGCATTCTCCCGAAACTAGCCGGACGCTCTCTCCTCGTTAGAAGATGACCTTTTCCCTTGGAGTGAAATACATTCCGACACGAGATGCTTGTGTGTCAGTGGACTGTTCTGAAATTAGGGCCGGTAAATTATATCTGGTATCACAGCTCGTACCTGGGTATCATCGCGGCGGTGTGATATTATCTCTAGCGGACACATTCATCAGGTGAGTCGGCCGACGCGCAGATATGGGTCGCCGCGCTGGGGCCCACCGGGGTCCGCCCAACTGACCGGACGTTTTTTATCTGTTCCAGAAACGGCTCCGTCTGTGCGCATTGAGCTGGTACCGCCGGGCCACCGGCCGACTCAGCACACTGGTGGTGTCTACCAGAATGGCTACTTGCCTCAGAACGGAGTCCATCAAAACGGCTACCTGCCCCAGAACGGAGTCCACCAGAATGGCTACCTGCCTCAGAACGGCGTCCATCAGAACGGCTCTGTGCCGAACGGCTACCCGCCGCACCATCAGCACCAGCACCAGCCGCCTCCGGCTATCCACCGAACCAAGCCGGCGCCGCCGCCGCCCGATGTATACGGCAGCGGTCCGCCGGCTGGTCAAACGGGCCCCTCCGTACCGGCCGGTCAGCGCGCCGGCTGGGCGCGGTCCGGCCCGCCGCCGCCGCAGGCCGCCCTGACCCTGCCGCGCCCTCCCGGCGGCAGCGGGGGGCCGCAGCGGCCACCACCGGCCGCCGCCTCTGCAGCGACTCTGCCCTCCCAGTACCGCAGCCGCAGTCAGAGCAACGACGGCGCCCGACAGCCGCCGCCGCCGCCGCCGCCAGCACCACCGGCACCACCGCCGCCGCCAGCCCAGCACCAGCAACACCAACAGCAGCAACACCAACAGCAGCCGCAACAGCAACAGCCGCAGCAGCAGCAGCCACAGCAGAACAACCCGGTGAGTGTTCTCTTTACCCTTTCTGCACGTTCTTTCTCTTTCAACCCCTCGTTGCGGCACCCCGGCATTTGCCACCCTCCGCTGAGCTGGTCCGTCGGTGACATACAGGGTTGGGCAGATAAATTGGGACAAATTTCAACTTCCTCTAAAACGACTATTTTTTGAGTGATAAAGATAATTTTTGAACATAAATATAGGCTAATGAATATTTTTCCATGTTATGCAGGTTGCGTTGTAATTTTGAGTCGGCTGGTCACAGAACGTGGCCTTAAGCAAGCCACTATCAACTTAGTCCGCGCCCACATGCATGCCAATATTCTAATTATGCTCCATCAAATGGCTGAAAGTGGTGTGTATCGAACAGACGTAAACGTTGGAGGAAGAGATGATATTGACTCAATATTACATACCTATTGCGTTGACACCGGCCGCTCCCCCGGTTTTCCAGGGGGGCTAAAAGGCAAAATTCAGTTAAATCAGAGGATCCTCGCGAAAACAGTGGCGCGAGCTTACAGGGAAGGTAGCCGCGCCATGAGAAAGCGATATACCAGCACCTCAAACATGTACTCTTATGCATTGATGCATATCAACCTGTTAACATAGATGTTGAAGCAGCTGTGACGTTAAAAAGATTGTTTCCTCTTGAAGGGCTTTGGAGAAGCGAGCAAGCACGTGCAGGTCATTTCTGACGATGGTGTCCCCATAACCGAGCATATGAACAACTGCAAACACCATGTAACATCGCAACCAGCCCAGAAGACGTGATATTAGTTCCAAAAAAAAAACATGCAGCAGACATCGGTGATGGCATTCCACTGGGTGACTTCTGACGGTCACGTGGGGCCCCCTTATTTTACGGAATCGGGAGGGGTTCGCCATTAAAGGGTACCTAACCATTATTCCGGCAGTTCGAACCAACAAGATGGAAGAAGGCAACATCCTGCATGGGGTGATGCTCTTCGAGGAGTCAGCTCCCCGGCATACAGTAAATTAAATACAAAATCTCCTGAAACGGAGGATCCCGCAAATTGTACCCAAGGGAAAATGCCCCCTTCCTCATTAAACCTCAGCCCACACAAGTTCTGGTTGCTGGGGCGTTTTTGCGGGTGAGTCTAACGAACGTCCCCATGTGACTGTGGCGAGCCTCAGCAGTGCCAGTCGGCTACAATTACGAGCCATTTCAGACGGGAGATCTCGCCGCGCGTGCAGTCAGTCCAGGCACCGACAAGGACTGATGCAGGTGGACCACGGTGACCATATTTAGTGATAAATGTGTAAAATTGGTGTGACAATATGTGATTCAAATTTGAAATGCCTATGTTTACAAATTTCTAAGCTACGGCGTTTTAAATGCAAATACGTATTTTGTCCCAATTTATCTGCCCAACCCTGTACACGGCCGTAAACTGACCGCAGAGGCTTGAGAGCCGGCCTCCGCTGGTGAAATCGGCGGGCCGGCGGCGCCGAGAGCTCGTGCCGCCGCCGAGACGGGCATTCCGCGACCTCTGGGGCGGGATTAGTGTGACGGCCGCGCTAGGGACGGCACCGCTGGCCGGCGGCGGCAGATGGCTGCGGGCGCCGCGCCGCGCCGCTCGGCGGGGATTGGTGTCGCTGTCCGGGGTTCGTTCCGCCAGCCAGCTCCGCAGCCGCCGCCGCCGCTGCTGCTGCTGGTGCTGAAATTCGGGTCAGCCACAAAGGCGCGCCGCTGAGGCAGAACACGATTGCGAAGGCGTGTGGCTGGCAGAGGCGCGGCAACCGATCATCCGCTGCACGCGGCGCAGGGGGTGGCTGATGAGCGTCCCTCGTAACTCAGCCGGTCGATTCAGCCCGCCGCGCCGCCCGGCCGGATTCAAAGCCAGGTCACCTGTCCGCCATCTGACGCGGGAGCTTTATTCACCTCCCTGAGCCGTCGATCTCCACACACGGATACGTGTGCTGTTTGTGTGATGGATGGGCTTCACCGATAACCGGAAGCCGCGTTTGTTCACCGGAGCCAAAGTTGAGAATCATTTTCAGACTGTTAGCGGCTGTAGCGTTTGATGATTTCAGCGAGAGCGTGCCTAACGGATTTCTCGCGGGCTGTTTCATTTGACCCTTTATTTCTGGCACAGTTCTGTAAGCGATCGTTCACGGTCCAATGCGGCTCGATTGGTGTTGATAGTTTAACGACGGAAGATTTATAGTTCCCGGATGGCGTCGGAACAATCGCCGCCCTAAACGATAGGTCCCACGATCAATGGAATGTTTGGGATTGTGGCACAATTATGATGGGGCCGATGGAGCTCGATGAAAACGATAAAGTCAATAGATTCGTCATTAAAATAATGAGCATCCTCCTTCGATTTCGAACTTTCAGTCTGGCAGGAGTTCTGCCCTTCGACCGCCGTATAGTGCCGATTCTTGCGACAGTAGCTAGTTATCATTAACTCCTCCTAGCGTCAAGCGAATCCAATTGTTTTGATCTCATTGGGCTGTCGATCTGCCGCTGATGCTGTTAATTCTGACAATAGCCGACATTAGGCAACGAGCCCCGTCCATCATACGCTGACTGCTGTAAATCGATCAGCGCAGATTAATCGACCGCGTAGGCGGATAACCACACCACCTCGAACCATCCCGTCGCCATCGGGCGAGACCCTCCGTTCCGGACATACCCTCGTCGCCACTCGTACTAGCTGAGTCTGGTTTTCTCGACGCGTCGTGACCACCCCCTGCTGCATCTTTCGGCCGTAACTCGGCGCGGTGACAGCCGGTTGACCCTGACGCGTCAGCGGCGGTCCCTGTTTGTACGACTGCCCAGCCCCGCCCGGTGCAGTCCGCGCCGTACACACGTCAGCCGCCGCTGCAGCCGCCGCGCCGGTGAGGTCCGTGTGTGCCGCGTCCGGATCCCCTGCAGCCGACTCCGACTCCGGCTCCGATCGTGTTATCGGCCAGTCCGCCTGGCCGACACACAATACCGCCTGCAACACAATCCGACACGGCGGTGGCGGCGGCTTTTTGCGTGTCGAGCTCGGCGGGGCGGAAATGACAGGACCGGGCGCCGACCGGTGTCGTGCGGAGCTGTCACTCAGCGCCGCCGTCGGAGCCGCCGTGAGAGCTGACGGGCTCCGGCGGGCCGCGCTGAGCCCCGAGCTCCGCACCCTCAGTCCACCCGGCCGGGCAGGTGTGGAGAGAGCGGCGTCCCGGCGCGCCGGCCGGCTGCAGCCGCTGTGCAGCCGAGCGGCGTCCCTGCAGCGGCTGCACTCGTCAGTGACCCACAGCCGACGGCCGGCACTGACCCATCTCCGCCCCGGCCGGCCGGCCGACGGCTCTCTCCGCTCCCCAGTGCACCGCCGTCATCTCTCACGACACGACGGGCTTTTTGCGGCGCGCCGCGCTGCCGGACCGGTGTGTGGCGGCGGTGGCGGCGCGGCGGCGGCTAACGGTGCGCGCTGGTCACCGCCGCGCCGCGCCGTGCCGCCGCCGGCCACCGGCCCGCAAAAAGCGACCGGCCGCCGCGCACCGGCGTGCCGTCAACTCCGATCGGTGGGCCGTTCGGCACAGCCACCTGCCGCGCGCCGCGCCGTGCTCCGCACAGGCACGACCAGTCGGCAAAAACACCGTCACCGGCTCTATTTCTCACGACTTTTTTACGTTTTTGTTAACGACGCCTCTTCCTGAAGCCTCATACCAGACGTAGTTATGTTTGATTTAAGTTGTCATGCATATTAGGATTTACTGGTTCTGTGTCTTGCTTTCTGTATAGCATAAATCTCAATTGTTTTTAACTGTCTTGGAGAATCTTTCTGCGCTGCTTCTTCGGAACCAAGCCATCGACCGTGCAGCAGATGTGCTGGGTGTAGAGATGTGTGGGTTGGTTCTGGCTAAGTCTAGCTGGCTGCGTAGGGTCTCCTGGGAGATGTGGTGGTAGGCGTTGCCTCAGCGCGCTGGCTTCGACTGTCTCTTTCCCAGCAGTTAGACTGTCCCATCGGATATCTGACGCTGAAGGCCTCTCAGAAACCCTGGGGAGAAACTATAGAGCTGTGAGATCCGACAGCAAGCGCGTGCCCTAACTGCCCCGGACTGCGGCGGCGTTGATACCGACCCTGGGGACCATCTGTCGGCGGTGGCAGCTGCGCCCGTGAGTTGTTACGGCGCTGCATTGGCCGTGACTGCGACGAGACTGAGAGCTGGGAACGTGGTTTGATGGAGTAGCGGCACGGCGCTACTGACGGGCCTTGGGAAAGGATTACCTACCACTCAGCTCGGCTGATCGGCGCTCGACCTGCCGCCGGACCCAACACCTGGGGACGGGGTGACGACCGACAGCGGCAAAAGAGGTTGGATGGAGCCAGCCAGGCCGGCCAGCATCCTGGGAATCAGGGCGCACTCGGGGAATCCATAGCACGTAGCCACCCCGATGGACTCGCGGAACATTTCCCCTCCGAGCACTTCACGGAACTGAATGCTCGTTTGATCAGCTCTCCCAGTTCAACTCTCTACCGGCTCACTCACGGAATTCGACTCTCACCCGCTGGACCGTCGGCCGGAATCCGGGATTTAACAGCCGTGGGTGCCCCACTCGGGGAAGCTGCCGACCTGACCGACTCGGGGTATTTAGCTCACGGAGCTGACCCGAGCGGGCCGCGGAGCGCGAGAAAGCAGCGGCGGCGGTGATGCCTGGACACTCCCCAACCCGCGCCGTCCGGTGCAGGTCCGACCCGGCCTGGCCGGGCGCGCTGAGGCAGCACTTATGCCGTGGGTCACGATCGGGCCGTTTGCGGTTGTCGTTCCTCCGCAGTGGTAGAGCCTGCACCGTGACGGGGCTCGGCTGGACGTGCTTAGTGCACGGACGGTGGCTCGAGCGACTGTAAGATGAAGTGGGCGGAGTTGGTTCAGAACGAAGATGTTTTGGGCGGGAAGTGAATTTGACAGTTGACGCAATGAAGAGGTACTGAACCTGGTCTGTTCCTAACATTTTCCTTTGATTACATTTTCATAGCCTTCAGCCATGACATCCA